TGACGAGGGAAGGAGAGAGAAGCAGGCCTGGTCCTCAGCTGGTCTGTTAAGGAGCCAGTCAGCACCTCCTGGTTCCCCCCTACCCAATTCTCCCCCAGAGGCCCTCCCGGGTCCCTCTCCCCTCCCACTCTCATCCCAAGGGTCCAGATACTGTTTCCCAGGAAGGAGTCTCACCAAGCTGTCTGGAGGGAGGAGCAGCCCGACTTCAGCGGGACTGTTCAGAGCTCTGCGCAGCAAGCCATTATCACATGAAAGAGAGAGGCCAGAGGGGGCCTGGGGGCGAGCCTGGCTGTAACTTGGACACCAAAGGACTTGGGAGGGGGTGTGTGGTGGGAGGCTGGTGGGCCCTGAGGCCCACATTCCCCACCTCTGGGGCACACCGAGTCCCACCCTCCTTTCCACCTGTGTCTCCTCTCGGGACCCCACAGGGGTGGCATCACTGTTCACCTGCATTGCTCCACTAGCCTCTGGGCAATCTTCCCACGGTGACGTGAGGCCCCTGAAGGAAAGGGGGCAAAGTTAGGAAAAAGGAATCTCCAGAGAATCCCAGAGCAGGAACTGGTCGGGGAGGCCCTCCGAGTGCTTTTCGCTTTGAAGGAGGCCCTCAGCCCTGAGTGAGGGATGCGGGGACGAGCTTCCCGATGTTATTTCTGATGCTCTGCAGTGCAGCTCACTGCGATTCTGTCTCTGGTCCTTCTTCCCAGGAGATTACAAACCTGTGCACTGCGTGTCCTCCTTGCCCAGCAAGCTCTTTTCTAGACTTTCTGGCAGCCCTACCTCCTCTCTTAGTGAGTTTGTGACTCAGGTTTAGGTCGTGTTGCATTAGTTCCCACACTCCCTTCCTGGGCAGAGCCCATCCTGGGTTGGTTTGTACCTGGCTGCTCCAAACTGGGCTTCCCCTCGGGTAGGGGAGCCTCAGACAAGAATGAGCCCGGTTCATCCATGGCACCTTCTTCCCCAGGAGCGGCAGAGACCCAGTGGCCCGGCGGGCCAGAGTTCCCGGATCCCTGAGTGCTTTGTGCTTCTGCTGTTCTTCTCGAACAAAGGGCGCCTCCTCCCTCCTCCTGCCGCCCACACAGAGCCTGTCCCTGGCTCAGACCCAAGTACAGCGGCCAGTGGAGGAGGGAGGTCATGGGAACCACTCTCCTGGCCCCGCTGGGGGCGGTGGGACGCTGTGGCCGCCCTGACAGCCAAGGGCGGGGGCGGAGAGAAGGGTCCAGTGTTCACAGGCTGACGGGGTGGCAGCCACTGCCCAGGCTACAAGACTTTTCACGAATCTGAGTCCTCTAAGTTCACCGAGTGAGGGAAGACACTTGGCAGCCTGGCAGGACTTTCTTCTTTTTGGTTCTCGCTGGAGGAGGGACAGGGAGCTTGCGAGCGCAGAGCCAGAACCGAGGCAGCTCTGCCCACGCCCCCTGCATCGCCCCACGCGGCCCGGGGGACTGAGGGGCTTTCATAGGGACAGGAGGCTTCAACTTCAACGAGAGGCAGCCGGCAGTTCAGGAACAGAGGCCCAGGCACCCGCAGGCAGGGTCAGCAACGGCTCCCGCTGTGTATTCCAGCAATTTCTCAGTGGATCAGACCCACTAAATCCCTGTAGGGCTACATGCAAATGCAATTCTTCCTCCTGAATTAGTTTTTGGCAATTGCCCTTGTTCGGGGGTGGGCTGGGATGAAAAAAGTTGGCAAAGAAAGGCAAACATTCATCTTTTTTATGTAGCAGAATCGATCACAGAGGATGTTTTTTTTTACTGCGCTGACTTAACTGGAAATGGTTTGCACTCCTGGCGTCCCGGGTTAGGGTCCATCTCCTGGGGACGTTGAGTTCCCCACAAGCTGCTTCGTGCTTCAGGGCTGTCGTCCTGGGTCCTGTTCCCGAAAGTACAGAAACAAAGGTTTCACTGCGGAGAAGCTCCCTGGGAGCTGGGGCGGGGGTGCCCCTTTACCGGGAACCCAGAGTATCCTGGGACTCTGCAGGAAGCCAAACAGGGACAGGAAGAGATTACAGTCACCATCGAGATTTACAGGACATTTATTTATTTTTTTTTGAAAGGGTCGAGGGGAACTTTACAGAATCTGAAGCCACTAACTACAATGGAAGATAAATAAAATACAAAGCCAGTATGTTGTGACAAAATTCCAGAAAACATGATGAAAAAAAATCTTTACAGTTTAAAACTGCTTTACTTTATACATAATTACAAATTAATATACAGCATCTGAGTTTTAACCCCTTTTTACTGAATAGGATTCAGCACAGAAATGTTCTTATAGCATCTGAGAACAACGAACGAGAGCAGAGGTATAAGGTGTATGTAATCGCCCTTCTGCACATCCTTGCGTCTCCTGCATGCCTGGCGGGGTGACACGCCGGAACCACAGGCTAAACCGTGACCGTGGGCCAGCCGACAGGCGGGTCGCCGTCAGTGCTCTCGAGCTGCCCATCCTGGCAGGTGGCTGCAAAAGGCAGAGGCCGTCAAGTGGGGTGAGGACGGGAGTGAGCAGAGGCGGGGCTCAGCCGGGGCGTCTGGAGCAGGCTGCCATGGCCATGGCAGGAGAGACGTAGCCAGTTGGGTCTGCCCGTCTTTGAACCTTAGCGAGATGGAGAACTAACTCAAGGCCTGTCAAGCTTTTGACAAATTAAATTAGACTGGTACACGGAAAGAAGCCTTTGTTTTTTCCCTTCCTTTTTTTTTTCCTTCTTCTATGGCAGCATTAAAAGACTTTTTCCTTTTAAAACCTGGCCAGCAGGCAGCAGATTCCAAAGCTCTGGTTAACTAGGAATGTTAGGCTACAATGAAAGAAAAATGAAGAACCAAACCCAAACAAACTCTTTGCCCTCTTCTTTGTCTCTGAGGATCCATCAGAGCCACAGCGCCAGGCGGAGCCGCGACCCCAGGACCACTGGTGCGTGTCCCCCCCGGGTCCTGCTGCAGGAAGACAAGGCACACATCCCCTCAACCATCGGGAGGCTTTTCCTGGGCTTCCACATTCTAAGAGTGTCCAGGTGGGTGGGGTGGGGGTTCGACACCCCTTGGCAGTGTCTGGGGTCCCCTCCAAGCACCCTCTTTATGGCCACTGGAGCCCCCTCACAAGGACAGGCTCCCTCAACTCCCCTCCCAGAGCCTGGCTGTCCTCTGGGCACAACTGGCCCCCCAGCAACACTGTTTGGACAGCTGCAGCTCCAAGGCCGATACCAAATCCCTGGGGAGAAAGAACCAGCTGTGGAAAAAGCAGCTCTGGGGCCACCAGATGAAATACAAAGCACTTCTGTGACGGCACCTTCGGGATGGACTTCTGGCTGCTGAGGTCGTGGTGCTTTTATTTAAGGCAGAGCCTACTTATTAAATCCCTACGCTCTAAACCCACTCCCCAAATAAAGGCACAACAAACTCCAAGGGTCTTAAAAACTTGTGCTCACCACTGTTAATACTAGGCGCTCAGGAAGACAACAAATAAGAGGGGATATCAGCAAAGGAATAACATTTAGTGGTATTACCCTGAGACACAAGAGGAAAAAAGGTAAGATTCGTACCTTTCCAAAAAAAAAATCCCAACAGGGATTTCTTCCCCACAGCCAGCTCTCACAGGGCAGAGGATGGAATGTTGGCAAAGGTTGAACTATGGCAATTGGCACATGTTTACTCCTCTCCATTCTCAAAGAAAACAGTTATCAGAGCTGATTGTCTCCAAAGTGAAGCTAACCGTTGAGAGTGTTTAAAGTGCACACGCCCCCCCCCCGACAGGGATGACGACTGAGATGAAGTCAGTTTTGAGAGAAGATGCAGCCTCCTTCCAGGAAACTCACTAGACTCTGGGAACCTGGGGACTCTGGCTGTTGTCTCCACCTGTCCCCCAAAACCTAAACACAAGGTCGGGCACCTGACTTCGCGAATGTGGTAGAGAAGCAGGCCTGCCCAGCGTGGGGCACTGAGGGAATTGAGTGTGAGCCGCCCTGGGAGGCAGTCCCTTCTCACGGGAAGGAAACCCAGATGGGGCTTTAGACTCAGTGACCAGGGAGGGTCTCAAGGTCAGAGCAGGCCTCAAGGTCATAAGCAAAAGCAGGAGCAGCAACAACCCGAGGTTCCCCAAGCACAACAAAATCCCC